GTGCACTTCAATCTACAGTAGAAACCAACGTACATTAGTGGAAGAAGTACGCGTGGAAAAGAGAAAGAGAGCACGGAATGATCGACTTCGGGTGAGAAGGGTGAGCGGAGGAAAGGAACGCGCGCGCACGCGCGAGGAAGAGAGACGGCACGACACGGGGACAACGAGGGAGGGACGAGGATGGAACGTCAAGCGTGGAACGGTGGAGATGGAGGAGAAGGAGAAGGAGAGTGGCCGAGCGTAGGAAGCGGTAGGAAGGAGCAGGAAGGAGAGGAGGAAAGGGCGAGCGAGAAGCAAGACTCCGTACGAAATACGAATGCAGTGGGGGAGTGAATCCGCGCGCCGGTGGTGCTAGCGGTGCTACGACTGCTACGTCGGGATCTGGTCAGGTCGGGTATCTGTAAATGGCTGTAAATGGCGCCTAGCCGCTTTGCGCGAGCGTCGGCACGTCACAGATTCCTTTTTCTCTCTCTCTCTCTCTCTCTCTTTCTCTATCCTTCCCTCCCTCGTTCGTGACGGTGAGAGCGGGCTTTCCGCGCGCGTAGTTGCGCGTAGTCCGCGGTGAAACAAACATAAACGCGGCTTGCCTCCCGTTTCCCCTTTTTTTCCATTTACCAGTACGAAATAATAATCATCGGAACCTGTGCCTGTGGTGTCGTCGTGCGATCGCGAGTGCGTGCATCATTTACAATCTTTCTCTCTTCCTCTCTCTCTCTCTCTCCCTGCCACTCCTGTTCCCTCTCTTCTCTCCCTCCCTTTATCCCGCCTCTTCTTCATCCTCCGGCCCATCGTTCGCTACGTTCGCAGGTTCGCTACCTGTCTCTTCCCCTTCCCTTTCTCTCTCTCTCTCTCTCCCTCGCCGTCAACGACGTGCCTGCCGTCATCGTCATCCCCGATTCTCCGCGCGCGCGTTGTGTCTCCACTCCACTCCGCGGTTCGAGGCACAATCGTGGATCTTTTCCTGGTGTGTGCGCGTCAATGCTTAGTGGCGCCCTTGATCGAATTCGCGTGCAGACAACATGGAGGAAGGTGCGGTGGTGCTACGATAGTGGTTTCCAAGCGAGGAGAGTGCTACGCAACGACAGCAGCGCCGTCGTGCTGTCCGGAACGGCGACGAGTGTATCAGCTCCTATCGTCTGCTGCTACTCCTTCACAACCTCCTCCTCCACCTCCTTGCCCGTCGTTTCCTCCGTTTCCTCCTTCTCCGTCACTTCCTTGCTCACCTCTTCTTCCTCCTTCTTTTCCTCCACTTCTTCCTCCTTCCTTGGCGACTACGGTGGCGGCGACGACAGCAACAGCAACGAGTCAAAGCACCGGTTTCCTCGCCTTTGTTCGAACCGGCGATCACCGCGTCGTCGCGGAGCCTACAGGTAAAAAAAAAAAAAAAATGTATCCAACATTTTACGATCCTTCCATCCCTCTTCTCGCCACGTTACCAGGTACGAAATGCATCTTACTTCCTTCTCCTCCCTCCCTCCTCCCTCTCTTCCTCCCTCCTCCAAGCTTGGTACAGGACTCGACCATTGCGAATCGTGATGGAAATGTTTATGCTCGTAATGAGGGAGTTGTTACCCTTCTTATCATTGCGCGAAAGAGACGCGACTTTAACCTTCTATGAACTGTTTTTATGAATGTCGGAGAATGAGATTCGAACGATTCTCTTTTTGTTCTTTCCTCGCCTCAAAAATGTCCTTCCCTCTCCGGTGGACTAGGGCTGTTTATCTGGGTCGAAAGAGGGTATTTAATATTTGCGAGGACGTTCCTGCGCGGCTAATCGTTTGGCATTTAATTAAATGATACTGTTTCGTTTCCTCTCTCTCTCTCTCTCTCTCTCTCTCTCTCTCTCTTTCTGTCTTTCTCTCTTGCTGTTACGAAGAATTGGGGTGCGTGTTTTTAAAAATACAAGGAGAAACGATCATTAGATTTTGGATACGTTTACCCGCCTCTCGTGTGTTTGTCTCGCACTTGTTTAACTGGCGCGTTTTCAAAAATAGGTCACTATGGCACCTAATGATATACATACATGTAGCAACGTGTATTCCAAGTTAATAATGACAAATAAATACGTTATGTTACCTTGAAGTCGCAGGACTTGTTAGAGGATTATGACGGATAAAGAACGCTTACAAAACGACTAAAGGTTATTCCACCGATGTTGAACGTTAGTGTCGTGAAAGTCAATCAAACGAGATTGTCAAGCGAACGTTCCTCGATACTTGGAAAATCATGTGAAAACTTCCCGAAGAGTCAATTGATTTTTATGTCTCGGAACGCGAATCGATCCTTGCCTTTTTTTACTCAGTTTTATAGAAAAATAGACTGCACATTTCCTGATCTTAGCACTTGTGCTCTTTTAGAAAAAAAAAAACTGAATATATCAGTAACTCTTTTTAACTCTATCTCTCTTCAAATCGATGCTTAAATGAGAGAGAGAGAGAGAGAGAGAGAGAGAGAGAGAGAGATTTCAAGCTACCTCACTCTTAAACACTGTTAAATTTACAATGTCAAATTATATCCAATTTGAGTTACACTGACAATGAGAGATACTGATTTGTTTTGAAATGTTTTGTGTGAATTAGAAAAACTTTCCCTGTTTTGTAATTCATATTTGTAATTTGGACCAAAGATTGATTAGGACATCTTTTTTTAATAAAAAAAAAAAGAAAACTTTATAATTTACATATCGCAACTAAATTATGATTATTCATACAAAACATTTCTCTCAGTGTATGTTTAATAATTTCTATAGATCGCCATTGCTTTTACTCAATACGTCGTTGATTTAACTAAAAAAAGTGGAGTTGAACAATTTAACTCAAGAAAATGTAAAATTAAATTTGTTTACTTTAAAACAACCAATAGAAATGAATTGATTGACATTTTGACACATTGAGAAAAATGTTTGGTTGGATTAATTGGAATTCTGATTGATAAAATGGGCGAATTAAAATTATTTGGTTAAATTTACTAGAATTCTAGTTAAGATAATCGCACTTCTGATAGAAATAATTAGAATGTTCTAACTCGTCCATTTTCAATTAGATTTGTTTCTCAGTGTATATATATAGAAATTAAAAATTAACAAAATGCTAAAACTCCAAGGATTGGATTACCATTGCTTATTGATATTTAACAGTGAATAGAGAGAAGAGTGACAACTTTATTTTTATCTATTTTTATTACGTCTGTGCTCGGTTCAATACTTCCTTCCGCTGTGCATATACATATATATATATCCAATATATATATATATAATTGGTTTAAATAAATTTCTCACCCATTTCGTATTACAATCTGCGTTCTATTTGGCATTTGCAACGCTCGCGTGCACTATTAGGTAACAATCCAATCTCTTGAGTTGAATAACATTTTCTTATTTTTAATGTTTTCCATGTGTATCAAAATTGAAATTAATCTATTTTTATAGTCATTTTTTTAATTAATCCATATTAACGTCTGCATCTAGTAAATAATAAACGAAACTTTAAATCAATTTCCTTTAAGTTAAATTGTTCAGCTCTATCGTTTTAGTTAAATTAACGATATATTGAGTAGGAGTAACGACGATCTGTAAAAATGATTGAAAATGACTCAAACTCGGTATAATTTGACTTAACGAATTTTAGCGTGTCATTCTTATTTATCATTTATTGATAAACAACAAAGATGAAGTGACGATGCTCGTGTGCGTTGCGGAACCGAGTGGAATGCACTGGTTGGTCGCCGAAAGCGATCTTGCGGAGAAAATCGCGGAATCGATTTTCTTCTCGCAGCGGACACACCGGCTTGTTTCGCGCGCGCGATTACATCCCTCGGGAATCACGAGCGGCACGGCGAGCGACGCTTTTGCAAATCGATACGCTACTTCGGAGCCAGTTGCACGCTGCTGGCTCTTTAACGTGGTGCATCGATAAGAGGTTCCCGGAGGCATTATTATCGCGTGAATGCGCGGCGCGAGCCGTCTCGTGTTGCTTCTACAATATTTCGCGACCTGGCGTCTCCGTGTTACTTCGTCGCCCAGGGTGAAATTTCCTTATATAGAAGGGTGTGGAAAGAAACGGGAAAGAGAGAGAGAGAAAGAGAGTCCGATTATTTTTCAAATATTTTTCTAAACTACCTTTACACATCCCACACGGGATTTAAGAAATGCACAATTAAACAATAATGCAGCCCAAAGTGCGGTCGACTTTATGCCGAAAACGGAAATAACAGTTTTTTTCTTTTCTGATTTCTGGCGTTTGATTTTTCAATCTTGGTTCGGACTATGATATATATTACATGGTCAATTTTGAGTTTTTGGAATTAGGCTTAGATACTTAATATGAAAAATTAGTTAGGAAATTTATATATACAATATATATAAGTGTATGTGCGCGATGTTGCTGTAGTAGTATGTGTAGTGACATATTGACACGTAAATTGTATGTATTTAGGTCCTATTGATTCGATAAAATAGACGACTTTAAAATCCTTTTAACGCCAATTAGCTCAGCGTGTATCTACTCGCGACGCTTTCCACCGCTGACCGTGTGTTTCTTTGTGTTTATTTTTATTTTTTGAATTATAAATCGTTGGATTTTCAGAGGAAAGATTCAAATGGTGATCGTTAAATGCGAAATTTCCTAACTCTTACTTACAGCACAAGAATATGACTCGTAATTTTACTCGTCGAAATAAATATATGTACTTTCACGGGAACGGTTGATGACGAAAGACGTGCGCTAAGTGAGGGTTAATAATAATAATAATAATGATTTTAATAATTAAAATAGATAGGTTCTAAGAATAACGATGATTTTATTATGAGCTAATATCTAAAATTAAACATACATATTCACGTGCAACCAAGTAAGATACGTTCGTCTTCCTACATTCGCACGCACCGTAGATCGTAATAAGGAACGGAGTCAGGGTCGTTGCGTGTTGTTAGCCAGAGTTCTTTGTTTAGGAGAGAGATCAGGAGAGACGATGATCCCCACGGCCAAGTCACGACAATCGGGTCGCGTTGGTTGTCGTTGTCGTGAAACGCATCTTATCGTCTATTCGTCAGTCGGTCGTTCGGCAGTCGATCGATCAACCGGGAGAATCAACGATTCGCGAGAGACAGCGAACATGTGCTTCGCTCGTCGTTGAATCGCGGATAAGGTCGAGAGGGAAAGGGAAGCGCGCGTTAGTCGTTACGTCGATCGCGTTGCACGCGTTGCGGTGCGGCGTAAGCGACGTAAGCGACGTAAGCGACGTAAGCGACGTAAGCGACGTAAGCCACGT